CAAAAAAAAAAAAAAAAAAAAAAGTCAATGGTTCACCACTGCCTTCAAAGACAAGTTGGAAACTTAATATCTGACCCTAATTTTTGTATTCCAATAGCTTAATCTTAAGAAACTGACCATACTCCATTGTCAAAATTAACTTTGGATTTCATTGAGTAGACAATTCACATCTTGTGTCTGGGGATAAATAAAGCAGTATTTTAGGATGATTGCTTTCACAGTAAAATGCATGGTAGATTAAAAAGAAAAACAAGTGATTGGAGAAAGGCTACTGCAATAGAGGATAAGTGGAAAAGACAGGGTAAATTATAGGGGTAAACGGAAGTGGCAACTGTTAGATGTAAAAAGAAAAGAAAAAGGGAAAACCAAAAGTAACATAGATTTGAAGCCAGCACTGTGGCCCCCACTGGTAATCTCTGCACTCTGGAAGGTGAGGGCAGAAGGATCACAACAAGTTTAGCTCTGCCTTAACAATTTAGCAACTTAGAAAGATGCTGCTCGTACAATAAAAAGTAAAAAAGGTCTGAAGATGCAGCTCATTCTGAAGATCCCGGGTTCAGTCTCCAGTACCAAAAAGCAAACAAACAAAGAAAAAAAATCTCTAGTTTGTGCATAGGTGAAAACAGGAGATTCAGGAAGATGATGAATTTAGCTTCAGTTGAATCTGAGGTAGACCTGTACAGCGAGGTCTACTGCTTCCATCTGTGCATGTCAGGTACTCAGGAAAGTGCTTTTTAGTAGCCCACAGCATGGCAATAACTCTCAAAATCTGACAGAAAGCAAATTTTAAGGAACAATGGGAACCAGACACGTTGTCTGAGAGGAAGCAGTGGTGGTGGGGGCTGAAAGATACTCCCGGAACAACTGTCTGTATTCCAGCCTCTCCAACCACAGCACATAAAATACCCTATCTATTGCCAACAACAGCCAGGACACAGACTGTAACTGCTCTACACTTTGCGAATTTCAAAAGCTGTATTCATCTAGCAATCACTTAAATGTATGGTCTAGTTACAATATATTCAGTAAAAATTTTATATCACTTTTTGTCTTTCAAAATAAGAATATTTTTAAAAATCAGGTAAGACAACTTTAAAAACAATGATTAATTCATAATAATGTATTTGATAATAGAAGAATCCAGTTTTTACCTTTCTCACCATAAACACTTGGTCTTTTAGTTATCACTCCATCTCTCTAAATAGTACAACAGAAAAGAAAAGAAACATGCATGAGTAGCTATATTTCTGAAAAAGATTTTGCCTCCCATCAGTCAACCAAATGAATCCAGACTTTTTCCACTCTTTATGCCTCAAATCTCTGATAAATGTTGTCAGGGCAAGTATATAATTATTAGCCTTCCAGGATACCTAAATTTACTCTAAAACTGAGCTCAATATGTAATAATGTATAAATGTACCCCTTTGTTAATATTCTATGTTTTATTCGATGGTATGTTTTATTCATTGAATGAACGGCTCTAAAAAGTCATTCAGTCTGACTCAGAGAAATCCAACTCCACCCATCCATGTCTTAATCCAATGTCATGCCTCTTGAGAACACTGCTTGAACTAACTAAAATTCATTGGTACAGCCTTATTTATTGTAATAACATTTTGGGGTGTCTGTTGCTCCACTGGACAATAAGTTCTTCAGCAGAGCGAGTGTCATTTAAACTGCATTCCATGCGACCCAATTTCCTTATTTTCCACCCTTCTCGCTTTGCTCAGTGCTTACTAACTGTAATTTAATGAATTATAGCTAAGAGTATTGTTATAATTGCTAAATATTTGCTGGGATTAATTTCTGCTACATTGCATAGTATGTTTTGAACATAGCTAACTTTGAACTTCCTTTGCTGGGGAACAGAGCCTGTTTTTGTGAGTAGGACCATTCATATAGGTACCATCCACGCTATCAAAGGAGACAGCTCTTGGCAGGCAAGAGGGGGAGGAAGTGGAAAAATGAGAACGAATTCAAAATCACTGTACAAAATTTTGAAACATAAAGCTTTACCTTTTGTTCCGCACCATTTTCTGGCACACCAGACTGATCAACAACTGAAGTTAATTTTTTTGTAACACTCTTCGAACTACTTTGACACTGAAACACAGTATTTGCTGCAGGTTCTAAAGAGAAATGAAAACAAAATCCTGTCATGTTTAAAACAACTATCGCAGTATAATATATTATTCCTAAATTGTTTAATCAACTTTAAAATATGTAAGAAAAAACTGTGACACCATCAGTGTAATCAAAATAACAACCTAGAAAAACAACAAACACTGGATAACTCAAGCTGCTAGATTTTTAAGGACTTGTTATAAAGCTATCATATTAAAAATGCTATAAGAAGAAATGCAACAGAAGATAATGTTTAGAAATAAACCAATTTATCTATGATAATTTTATTTCTTCAAATTTGTCAGCAAACCTGATGTGTTGAACCAACTGGATGTGTACGAGATAAGTGTGGCTCATCCTGTCTTTCCAGGTAGCAAGGAAATGATCCAGGATCATCAGAGTGATATCAGAAAGACTGGAGTTAACCCTAAGGGACTTCCACTTGCCAGAGCTGTCACAACTTTAGCACTGATAACCGTGCTACGGTACCGAGAAGTGTCATGAACTTTCAAATTTAAACAACTTGATGTATGGCAACACACTGAATTTGTTTAAATGTGTTAATTTCTAATAACACTAAACAAAACTAACAGGACATTATGGAGGAAACTGTTGAAATAATTCATGATTGTGAAAACTGATGCACGATTGTAAAATATTTAGCACTTAATCTGGTCCTTCCAAAATATTCTCTACCACAGTGTAAGAGCAAACCATGGGTGTGTGTGTGGGGGGAGGGTCTTTTCCTGAAAGTATTCTAGGTAATCTATGAAGAAGAAATGATAGAATTAAAACATTTCAAATCTGTTGTCCTTAAATTAGTTTATGAGTGTATGCCTTGAACAGGACGGACTGCCGAGATCTCAGAGAAAACCAGGTATAATATGCTTCTCAGTGGACAGACACACCACCTCTAAGACAGTCTTGCTAAGACATTCAACATGAATACTTATGGTTATGACTGGTACTTTATAGAAAATAGAGACAAAATAACATACAGAACTGGATTATAGAGGTGAAGTCAAAAAAAGGGCAGTTTGTGAAGAACTCAACCAGATAACTCAATTTTCTTCTATAAACAACCCCCGCTCCCCCCAAAAAGAGGGAGAAGGGAGAGCCATGCATGGGAGAAAAACTTACACGTTAAAAGATATTAGAAAAATATCAATCCATTAATAAACTGATCACATGTATTCAAATATCATAATATTTTGTCATATATAATACTATTGAAATATTAAATAGTGTAAATAATTGGTGATGTTATGGAACTATCCACTATTAATTTATGTAAGATGGTAATTGTATTGTGTTTATGTATTTTTTGAATAGTCCTTATCTTTTAGAGTTTCGTGCTGGCATACTGATGGATGAAATGATACTATACATCTGATGAATTTCAAAACAGCATGGCATCAGGTAGAAGTTAGAAACATAGACCAAAGAAAGTTGTCTATGAGTTAAAACTGGCCTAAAAGCACAGAAGGCTTTACCAGGCTTTTCTGGTTTTAGTTTTGTTTTGTTTTTCTTTACATTTGAAATTTCTAATAAGAAAAGCATAAAATATCATTAAAACTGTGGAAATTTTTACTACAAATAAAAGATTAATGTCTTTATCACATAAAGAGATCATCCAAATTAACCTCCAATAAAAAGTAGCAAATGTACAAGCTATGAAGAAAAAAAGTTAAATTTATTATTTTAACAACTTCTTATATCCAAAATTAGAATAGAAAGGAATCATAAATTATAAGATGAAATTTGCTATACCATATACACCTTAGTGTCTAACATGACTAAAATGTCTTCCAAGTCCATGACAAAATCAACCCAGGAAGAAACTGGCCAGGAGATAAGAAATGGTAATTTCTCAGAAGACATGACTCAGAATCCCTAAGGAATCATTATTCATGTTTGTAAAGTAATTCACATATACAAGAATGTTCAGTGCATTAAAATACCGAATTCTTTCACCTTCAGCAAATACAGATGTAGAAACTGTAGTAAATTCACACAATGGTACATGACTAACAGTGAAATGAATTGAAATGTCAGGCAACACGTGGATATTCTGTTTGAAACAGTGCTGAGTATAAAAAGCACATCAGAGACTCAAAATATCCCATAAATATATTTTAATAATGACATTTACATCTGCTGTGCTTTGTGTTTAGATGTCCCCCCAAAGCCTCATATGGATGAGGTGGGGCTTGTGTTTCAGAGGTGGCTGAATCTAGAGTTTGTGATGCCGGGGTTAAGGGTGTTTGATTACTAAACCACTATGGCTGAGTGACTGGCTTGGCACTACCCTAATCCCAATATTATGGATGGGATAAAGGGGTCAGAAAGATGCTATTAAGGCCCTTGTTGCTTCTGCTGTCTTCTGCTACCATGAACTGTTGCCCCTCTGCCATGTGCCACCTGCTTGGAGCCAGCTGATTACGGACTGAAACCTCTGCCAACTGTGAGCTAAACAAACCCTTTTCCCTCTTACTTTGGGTGTTGAGCATTTTGTTTCAGCAACAAGAAAAGCAACTAACACAATATCCATCTATATATGTATCTATATAATAATTAAAGGACACATATATTTTTAAAATATTTATGAGAATCAACAGAATTACGTAGTAGTTTCGTTTGTCACTGAGAAAGTTGGCATCAGGGAAATTTTTAAAAAAGTTATCAAACTACAGTTTAAAGATTCACAGTGAAGCTTAGGACACACAGATGTCCACACCTAGACATAACAGAAACTAGACAATTAACCCCCACCCCTAAAATTGAAAATAACCAGAAAAACAGTACATTTCTTATTGGGAAAACACAATTAAAATATTGCAGCTACCTCACCAGACTCATGAACACACTGAAATGAAGTAACATTTCTAAAGATCTATAAACAAAGAAACGGTCAATTTCCAAGTCTATTAGTGAAAACGAAAAATGAAGACATTCTGAAGAGAAAGAAAACTAAGATGATTCAGTGCCAGAAAGTCTTTTCTAAAAGAGATGTTAAAGGAAGCTCTAAAGACTAAAAGAAGATTAGTAACAGAAAGACACACGGAACCCCAGGAAAGAAGAAACCCAAATAGTAATTATTGCAGCAAATATAACAGACTGTCCTTCACTTGTTGAGTTATCAAAATGTATATTTGATGATCTGAAATGAAATAAATTACATTGTCTGGTCAGAGGCTTGATGAATACAGTTGCAAGAAAATAATTATAAAGAGGAAAGGAATAATGGGAAATATGTAATAGTAAGGTCACTATATTCTGTTTAAAATAGTAAAATGTCTACTGATAGTTGGTTATGAAGAACTAATTAATTTAGAAAAAATACTATTTAAAAACTATTCCCAGAGAGGAAATACAATAATGGGCTACTTCAAAACAAATTTTTAAAATTATAATAGTATCAGAATCAAGTACTCAGGTATAAATAAATACACCACAATAGGATCTGTATGCTGAATGCTACAAAACACTTATAAAAGAAATTAAGGATGGTTTATATAAATAAAAAGGATTCCATGTTTATGCCTGGAAGACTTTGTATAATAAAGATGCCATTTCTCCTTAAATTGATTTATACGAGTACATGCAATGTACTTCATTTAAAAAATCATAGCATGCTTTTTACAGTTGTAGTTTTTCTAATTATAAACATTTGTGTAGAATAGCAAGTGAGTTAGACTAGTTAAACCAGTTTTGAAGGAGGAAAAGTTGGTGTAAACATACTGTTCTTTGCAGATAGATATAGACAGGCTTCCTTCCTCAGATAAAGATCAAGGTGATTGTACAATTTCTTTTCAATTGCTAATGAAGCGTAGAAGTCAGGTCTCTGGACAACCGTCTGGGTGGCCCAGTAGCTTGGCGAGGCTGCAGCAGTGTTTCCCATCTGCCATCTTCCCTCGGACACCACTCTGCTCTCTGACAGCACTGTGGTCAGTCTGGGTTGCATAGCGCACTGTGCTTTCAGTGAATGACTTTGGCTGAGATAATCTTGCTTTAGAAACCCAGCATTCAATTTTATCATATACATTCACTAGATATGGGGCTGATGTCACAGTCGTGCGTTTTAGTAATTCTTCAGTGTTTGGTAAAAATAAAACAGAACAACAACAAAAACCTACTCATCCGCACTTAGGGTCCATGAATCTTAAGAATTGAATGAAGTGTTTACTCATAGTTGGTTATGAAGAACTAGAAAAAATCCTATTAAAAACTATTCACAGAGAGGACATACATTAACGGGCTACTGCAAAGCAAATTTTAGAAATGACAAAAGCATGCAAAGTGATCCCGAGGGAAAGAGCACTGAGGAGCCATCAGGTCTGTCTCTGTCCGGGCTGCTGTTTGGATGAAATTAACAATACGTCTGTTATTGAGTAATTAAATTCTGAAACCAGAAGCCACTACCGAGTTGTTGATGCCCATCACTTAAAGTTAGTCATTTTCTAAAGAGAGGAGAGAATTTTCGCTCACTTAAGGAGACCATCACCAAACTCAGTCTTTCCCCAAATTTGTATTCTTATTACTTAGTAGCTTTGATCCTTTATGCAATTACCTTTATGTGCTTTATAGTCATCAACGGAATACAGTAATTTTATATCATCTTGATTCTTCTTTTTCTTCTTTGCAGAAGCTTAAAGAGATGAAATAAAACATTTACATTTTTAGTGAATGCTTGGAAGAAGGGGATCCATTTGCTGACCTGTATTTGAAACTGTGGGAAACACGATAGATGGAGAGACATGAAATGAGGACAAAGAATCACCCCTCAAATATTATTCCCTCAAGTTAGAAGGTATACACAGAAGGGCAGAGTTCTCTCCTGTGAGAAAGGCTGCTATGCACTGCTGTGTCGTGCAGGAGACCACACTGTGGGTGTGTATACCAACCAGCACAGCGACGGGCTGCAGAGCCCCGGCCCTCAGAGACTACTGCAATTCTTGGATTAGCATTAAAGCGTGGCATAAGCCAATACATATAATAATACAATGCAGGACAATATAACTCCCTCCTTCGTGACAGAGGAAATGATAGCTTCCCTTTGTGATTATATAGGTAGGCAACATCTGCATTAGAGACACAAAATGTGAGAGTCACGGGCATGTCCTCCTCCCTGAGGGCTGCAGCAGTTTCTTCTACCTTTCCTCTTTCCTTCTCTGTCTTTCTACAGCTTTTCTACTTGGTGGAAGACGACATTATTAGAGTGGAATACTTAAATTTTATTTGTGAAAGTTATTCTTGTATTAATTCAAGAATATACATTTGAAATATATTACTACTTCTCCAAAAGATTTGAGGTACCATGTTCATGATAGCTACCGGACATTCTTTCCTTATTACATGAGAATCTTGACAAAAGCGTTGGGATGTGTGTAGTTACTAAAATCTGAAGCATCACTGCAGGTAATGTTATCAGTGCCTCCAAGAAGTAAGCGGATTGAATGAATCCATTTAGAGAACGTATGTGTAGTGTGCTTACACACATCATTTATGCATATATGTAGAGAGTGTACATATATTGTTTATATAGTACATGTTGTACATATCGCTCTATAGCTCTATAAGGTGTGCGTGACTTAAACCAGTAAGGAGTAGGTAATGGTAGAGAGGACTAAAGAGACTCGAAGGAGAGGGCTTTTCCAACTAGGGCTGTCAAGAAAGACCTCATGGAGCAGGATTTAACCAACAGTAGGATTTGACAGGAAGAGACAAGGAGCAGATCGTCCTAGGCTGAGACAACGGGATAGAGGAAAGCTGAGAAGTGGGAAATGTCAACTGTGCTTTAGGAGCAGTAGTTCTCTCAGCTGATGGAATGATGACAAGAATGAAATGCTCACTGTATGCTAAAATGCTGGGGCTTTTTGTCCTGGTTGTTTGGTGTACCACCTTCCTTTGTAGACAATGAACCGTTCACTGATGGGTTAAATAACTCGCCTAAGTCATTTGCACAGCTACGAAATGATACAGCAGGAGGTAGCCTTCAGCAGTCTAGCTCCAGAGCTTGCTCACGACACCCCCAGTCTTCAGTGATGTAGTGAAATAAAACTGGAAAGCTCGGCTGGGACTGCATTCTGCACAGCAATGTAAGCTTGCCTAAGCAGCTTCACTGAACAGACAGCAGACATGGAGCCAGGAAAAGAAACATCAGAATAGTTTTAGGTGTAATTGGTGGCCTGGGCAGTACACAAAGCAGATTCGAGGTAGATAAAAATAAGAGCAAATTGAAACTGGTTAGTAGTTACTGGGGTGATGGGGGACCGGGACAAAGAGATGTGGTGGCTGAGGAGGAAAGAAGATTGATGATTATATTATTACTCAATAATATAAAGTAATAGATAGTTAAGAATAGTTTACTTTCTTATGTTCTATTCACCCAACTTTAAATACTACTGAGGTGAAAAACTCACTATACTTTTATAGTGTTAAAATAAAAAGAACAAAAAGAATCATACCACTGTGATATATGTGCACCCATGTTTATAGCGGCACAGTTTGTAATAGCTAAATCTTGGAAACAGCCCAGTTGCCCATCAGTTGGAGACTAGTTAAAGAAGATGTGGTTTTTCTATAAAACATAATACTACTCAGCCATAAAGAATGATAAACTAGAGTCATTCATAGGAAAATGGATGCATATTGAAGATATATTCTTAAGTGAAATAAATAAGTCACACATGTATAAATATTGAATAGTTTCTCTGGTGTGAAAAACTAGAATTGTATATAAGATCCTAATGGTAGAGTTGATAATTTGAAATAGGAAGAAAGGGGCTAAAGGTGTAGGGGAAGTGGGAAGAGTAGGGGAAAGGAAACAAGGGAAGACAAAAAAATATGAGAAAATGAAAAAATGGAAATAAAGTATTTGTAAATAGGAAAGGGAGGAGGGGGTGAAGGGAGGGCAGGGATGAGGGAAAAAAGTGAGAACCAAGAACTGTCATGTAAAGGCACAAGATCCAATGATGAATGTAACTGTACGGTGTACCTTAAATGTACCAATAAACTCTATGAGAGAAAAAAATAAAAGGAACAAGTGTTTCCTGCTTCCCAGTATTAGTAAATAATAATAATAAAGCAGAATAATAATAAAAAATACTAATAATACTAATTATAGTATTAAATAATACTAATTATAGTATTAATACTAATTATAGTATTAAAAAAATACTAATAATAATAAAAAATACTAATAATAAAAAAGCAGAAAAAATGCAAAATAAAACCGGCATGGGCTGGGCACAGCAAAGTCATGGCTCTATTCCTTCCTTTTAAACTTTTATTTTTATGTTTTTGGTCTTTTTATTTATATCTTTATATTTTTGGTCCTTTTTAGTTTTATTTTCTTATTCCTCTTCATTATATTCTTTTATCCTTCCTTTTCCCGATTTTGTCTATTTTTATTTATTGGCAAGTTAAATTGACAACGCAATTTAATCTTACACGTTTTATAGTTTCCGTAGTGACAACAGCATTATCTCGAGTGCAGGGAGACTGAAGTATGGGACGGTTGTCTGTGAAGTCCCTTGGCAGGGCTGTTTTTGGTTTGCCACCGTTTTTACACATAGCCTCCTCTGCAATTTGAAATTTAATACCCAAGTGATTGGATGACGGCCTCGGCACATGCACACAGCAAGGATAAGCACACTGAATAAATACACAGAGGACTTTTCCTTACACAAGCATTTCCTATTTAGTACACCCTTTTTTAAAGTTCTCACATTCAATTCCATCTTGTCCACTGTATTCAAATGCGTTTTTATCCCCATCTTCTTTAAAGCCAGTTTCTTGTATTTTTTGTAAATGATAAGCCATTTTTTTCTCTAGAAGTGCTTGTTTCTAAAATATTAAAGACAACTATTGGTTAGTGCCGATTTGCCATTTGTAAATGCAAGACAAATACTTAAAATATGTTTGTACATTGGAAATCAACTGCTGTCAAGCTTATCTTGTAACTTGTGAGTTCACACTAATTGCAAAAATGAGAGTGGTAAAGGTTAGGTTTCTATGAAAACTACTATAGCTTTGTGCTTCCTCTGGGGATAAATAGTAATGATTGATATTCCAAATAGTTTTCAATCACCTGGATGGGGGCCAAGGTCTTAGCCCAGCCTTTCCAGGAAATATCCTTGACCCCCCCCTTTCAGAAAATCCTTGTACACTTGCTATGTGACTTGCTCCCCCATTTGACCCCCATTTAATCAATATTACCTGGGTGACTATTCTTGTAATCTTACTGGTTGGTCACGGTTTTGCCCCACCTCATGCCCACCTTGTAATTTTCCATTGGGTCTTATAGTTTCGTCCCACTCTATACCCTACTCACCACATGGCTTTGCTGTATGAAACATCTTTGAAAAGTGGGGTGAGCGGGAAACCCAATTTACAGCCCCCTTCTGTCTCTCTTAGACAGAAGCTTTCTTTCCCTCAATAAATTTTTTCTACTCTTAAAAAAAAAAGAGTTGATGATAATCATAAATTCACAGCTTCTGCAAGCCCCAAATACCAAAGAATAGAAGAAAATGCCACCAAGGTATACTTACTCAAATTTCTTAAAACCATCAATACAGAGAAAAACTAAAATGCTAGGATGGGGTCACATGTAACAGAGGGGGGAAAAAAGCTAAGGACTGAGGATTTCTTTATAAAAACAAAGCAGAAAACATAGCTGAGAAGTACATCTAAAGTTTAAATTTTAAAAGAAAAAAAAGTGGATGGAAATTTTCATACCTAGTTGACACTAACTGCTTTATTAACCAATATATACTCAAAAATCTTCCAAACATAAATGCAAAATACCTTTTTGATACTGAAAATCTAATTGCACCAACACAAATATTAAAGAAATCCTCTTAGAAAGAAAAAATAATGACACCAGATGAAAATATGAGTAAAAAGTAATGAAGAATATCAAAAGTGGAAAATTCATAGCCAAATATTGTTATTTAAATCATGTTAATATATAAATGTTTAGACAAAAGTGTCAATGTGTGGTGGAATTTATACTCTATATAAAACTGAAATGCATGACAAAGACTGCATAAAAACAGCGGGGGAGACAAAGTGTAATATTATATTGTTTTTATACTATAAGTAGAGTAGTATAATAGCACTTTAAGATCTACTCTAAAAAACTAAAGATACAGAATATGCTATTATCCCTACATCAACCACTAAATCACAAAACAAAGGGGAAAGCTAATAAAGCAAAACACAAAGGAATATTAACAAATCCAAAGTAAAAGACAGACAATGAGGAGAAAGAGAACAAGCAAAAGACAAAACAAATACTGAGATAACAGATATAAAAGAATTCATAATCCTTAAATGTAAGTGATCTCAATACTTCAATTAAATTGAAGGTTGTAATATTAAACAACATAAAAGTAAAATCCTCTGGTATAAAAGCTACAAAGAAGAAATTGAAAATGAAGACCAAATGGGATTTTATAATATTAAAGGAAAATGTTATACATACTAGCATAATCAAAAGAATGCTTTAGTCACATTATTAATTTTATTTAAGGTCAGATTAGAGCAAAGAATCCTTTTGGGGAAAAAGGGTATTTCTGTAATGATAAAAGAACAATAAACAGTTATTCACACTCAAAACAATCCTAACATACCTAATGACTGAACTTCAAAGATGTAAAACAAAAATTGATAGAACAACGAAAAGAAGTATTCAAATTAAAAAATATAGCCAAGATTCCAACAACTCTCTCAATAGGTGAGAAAAAAAAGTGAATAGAAAGTGAGCTAAGCTTAAGAAGAATTGAACTGGATAGCTGGAGCACATTTATGAATTACTCCACCAAAACCAGTAAAAACCAAAATTTTTTTTCAAGTGAGCATTGTACATTACCAACAATGACAAAACTTTAGTCATTTTTTGGATAATAAAAAAGGCTCAGTACAATTGAAAAGATACAAGTGATATAAAAATATGTTCTGACCACATGAAAAATAAATTCAAAATCAATAACAAAGATTTTTTAACTTGTCTAAGAAAAACAGGCAATTTTAAAATATTTTTAATTGAATAAAAGCATAGTATATCACAATTTGTGGAATTAGAGAAAAACAATACTAAATTTCTATATTAAAAAAGAAAAGTTTCAATGAGTCCCATTCAGAGATTAAAAAGCATATTAAAAACAAAAATGGGGCTGGATATTTGGCTCAGAGATTTTACCACCTGCCTTACAAGCACAGGGGCTTGAGTTCGATTCTGGGTAGAAAAAGAAGGTATGCTAAAAGAATAAAAAACAATGAAGGAAAAAGAGAAACAAAACTAAACAGCGTCAATTTAAGTAAAGCAGTAAAAAAGAAAGGAAATAAAGCCATTCTATCCAGTGATAATAAAGAAAACAAGTTACAAATTATTGATGTTAGTAATAAGAGAAGGTGCCATCAGTAGACCTCAAAGGATAATAAGGTATAGGCATCTTTGAGCATAGGTTATGCAAATTTCATGACATGGAAAAAGTCTCTAAAATACATAAACTGTCAAAGCTCTTTTAAAAAACAATATTCCAAATAGACTTACATTGAGGAAATTGAGTTTAAAACTTTCACACAAAGAAAATTGTAGACCCAAATGACTTCACTGATAAATTCTATATAAAATTTAAGAAATAAAAAATACCAACTGTAAACAAACTTCTAGAAATTTGATTAGGTATGAACACTAACTTTCATAGACACTATTATCCTGCTTCCAAAACCAGACAAAGACATTACAAGAGAAGAAAATCACACAGTAACATCTCCTTCGCAAAATTCTAAACACATTTTGACAAATTCAATGCAATTTTGATATATCCAATATTGCCAGATTGTGTGTGTGTGTGTGTGTGTGTGTGTGTGTATTCATTCATGATAACATTTTTCAGAAGACTAGGAATAGGAGAAAATTTCATCAGCCTTATGGATGAAAGGCCTCTGTGAAAAACTCAGTTCACCTTAGCATAGATGTTAATAAACTTGATGCTTTCCCTTGAGGTCAGTGACAAGAAAAAGATAGCAATCCTTTTATCCAGCATTGTACTAGAGATATCAATCATGTAAGAAAAACAAATAAAACACATTCATACTGACACATAACATGATAATCAATGTAGAATATTAATTTCCAGGTAGAAAAATAAACACTGGAACTAACTGATTTTAACAATATAAGGTACTATATATATGTGTGTGTGTGTGTGTGTTTGTGTGTGTGTGTGTGTTACTTTTCCATATACTAGTATCAAGTAATCAAAAATTGAAATGAAAAAGTACAAAGTATAGTAGCACAAAAATAATGAAATCCCTAGAGATGAATCTACCAAAGACATGCATTGAGCACTACATAACATTGGTCAGAGCAATTAAGAAAACCTAAATAAATGGACAGATATATCTGGTTCAGGAGACTTAATAACATCAAGAGGACATTTGTGCCCAGCATGATCTACAAAGTTAACAGAAGTTCGGCAATTTCAGCAAGATTTTTTGGTAAAAAGGTGGTAAATGAACTCTAAAATATATATGAAAATGTGAAGAATTTAGATTTGCCAAAACAACTGAAAAAAGAACACATCTGTAATGCTAACATGGCTGAGTTGACAAATTACTAAAGGAACAATAATCAAGAAAGAATATGGGCAGGGGTATTCAGCTCAGTGGTTCTGCCGCCTGCCTTGCAAGCACAAGGACCTGAGTTCGATCCCTGTACAAAAAAAAAAAAAAAAGAATAACAGATAATGGGTCAAAGAACATGACTGATCCAAAAGTTAACTCACAGATTGTTTTTGACAAACATGTTAAGCAAGAAATTAAAAACTTTTGATGACTCTGCAATGTAAGCACATAATTTGAAGTGATATTTACACATAATGCTAAATATGAAATAAGACATAGAAATATTAAAACAATACAAATAAATCAAAGATCTTTTATATGAAAACAAGATTCAGAAAACCCAATTATAGAATAACCCCATTGACATGTGAGTGTGTCAAATAACTCTGCCATTACTATGTCGAGGTACCCCATGCTACCATGCCACAGCTCTCACAAAACAGAGACACCCTTAGAGATACCTGGGAACAAAACAGAAGCCAACTTTGGGAGCTCTTGAACTAGAGAAAAATGAATACTAGGAAATAATTACACTGAGAATAAACTGGGTCTGCCTCATGGGAAGTGAGACTCTTACAATACTAATGGTACATGTAACAGAATGAAAGATAAATATGCATACCTAAATTTCCAATATTTAGAAACATTTTATATTTTATGTTCCAGTACAAATGAAACTGTCACTCTTACACTTACACCTAGATTTGTCAAGAATAAGCTAACCAAATCACTATTTAGAATTTTAAATCAACATTTTTCTGTCATTGAAAGTTAATGGTATTTTACTAAGAAAAGGCAGTCTACAAAGCACTCTGTATGTATTACAACATTTATGTAATTATTGCAATGAATATTCATAGAAACATTATTCATGAATGTGTGTTTTAAAATGTTAGTAAGGTTGTGGGGGGATTACGGGAATTTTTCTTATTCTGATTTACTCTCTAAATTACAAAGTAAACAGTATATATCTTTTAAAGTGCTCAAAACAGGCTTAAAAACATTACTTCATTGGAATAAGATAACTTTTACCAAAAATTTCTGATTGTAAGAAAAAATTGGTTAATTTTCATAAGAATTACAAGCACAGTATATGGTATAAAGACAAAGCCTAAAGTAGTTACATCAAATAATAAGTGCTTTTTACTTAGAAAGTAAAATAGAAAGGCACAGCGCCCAAAATACAGCACACATGTTCATGGCTAAGCGCCTAGAGTCTCAGGACCAGGCAGAACTTCAGGGTCAGCCTGGACGCCATATTTAAAAACATAACGTTTTCGCTTTGTAAAATGAATGTCATTTAGGAGAGCTAGTGTACACCCGTCATGCAAAGTGATTACTTTGACAAACTGAATGAGCAAAACCTTCTCTTCAAACAGGCCAACGTAGAGGCTCACTCTACCTTTTTGTCCCTCTCTTCTCTGCTTTTCCGCCTTTGGTGTTCCAGCTTCTGTTCTCTTTTTACATCTTCTGCAATCTTTGTCAGCAGCAGCATCTCTTTTGTCTTCCACTCCTACAGAGCACAGGGTTATGACACTCACTGTAAGCTCCTTACGCAATGAAACCTTTGTTTTGTCCAGACAAGAAAATTAGACAAGTCGAGGGCTTACTAGAAATGCGGTCAGGCATAATGAAAGTCATGCATTTGTTTTAGAACGGGCTCCACACTCACTGTACTCCTATTGGGAAAGCTGTATAATTATTTTTACTAAAATTAAAGTTTAAAAAATTTCCTCTCCAAATAGAGCGTTTACAGGGCCATTAAATAAGGTCCAGTGACTTTCTCCTAGTGCTCTTTTTAAGAGATGTTGACACACACACATAATTTGTGATATTTGCCTCATTATTTTATGGAATAACTAGTACATTATACCTGTGAAGAAAGTGTAATGGGTATGAATTATTTAGAATGAAATGACTGCCATCTGATCGGAAATTATCTACAAATGGAAAAAGTTATTATAAAATTTTCCCCGTGTTTTCACGGTGTTACCTCTCACCTCTTCCATCTTTCTCCGAAGAAGAAGTTTTCTTTTCACGTGTTCCCGTTGTCTTCTCTCCTCCCGGTGCATCCAGAGGAGGCGCTGCTCTTCCGCCGCACGCTGAGATTGTTCTAACCCTTTACTTATCGTATCCAAATACCTGAAGAAGGGTGCAGGTGTCACCGGAGCTGAGTCAGCTGTTTCCCCCACTTTCGCGCCACCCTTTCCCATACTCTCAAACTGCCTCTTCCTGCTTTTCGTGTTTTGAACTAGAGGAATTGTTTCTGTTGATCCTGCTCCGGGACCCGCAAGGCACCCTGACTCACAGTGTGCTACACAATGTAAAGTCTTCCTGTTGTATGCATATTAGCTATCAAGACAATGTTGAAATGTGGGGCAAACTGATTAAAAGTACTTTGTACAGTAAGTATTCATAACTCAGTAAGTTTAGAAATACTGATTTGCAAAGAAAGCTGATATAAATGAAGCAGTGACTTTACAACAAAACACAGTAGTCTTGAATTTTCTAGAAACAAAGTGGAGACTACTTTCCTTAAAATTTGCAAGTCTTTGCACAAATCGCCTATCTACTGTTCAGGTCTCTGGTACATCAATACATCGTAAGGCACCTCCATGAAATGAAACAATAAAACACAAGCCAGATAATGGGTCACAGTCTCTCACTCCTAGTAAGAAAAAAGAATGTAGCATTCTCGCTCATCTTAAGAAATGGACTTGCCGGGCATGGTGATGCACGCCTGTGATCCCAGCACTCGGGAGGCTGAGGCAGGAGGATCGCTGTGAGTTCGAGGCTAGCCTCAGTTACATAGTGAGTTCCAGGTCAGTCTCAACTACATAGTGAGACCCTGTCTCAAACAAACAAACAAACAAAAAGACAAGAAAGAAAGAAAAATAAAAAAAGAAATGGACTTGACAAGCAGTGTTCATGACTGGATGCCCCTGGGTGATATCTGAGTGAACTCATGGTCTTTTTAGAAACAACATGCTGATATTTCCACCGGGTATATTAAACTTCTGTGTATGGCTTTGAACTAAGTTCTTCAAATTTAATGCTGTCAGTCCTTATGGAGGGATCACAAAAAATTTCTACTACTTGATACATGTGCTAACATTATTTTCTTTCCCTCTCCTCTTTGTAGAATTTGAAATCTGGTGTTCCCTTCAATTATTTAGTTGGTGTACTTCTCAGTTCTCAGAAAGCTCAATGTCATTGGTAGGAACTTCCCATTATAGTCTTGGTGCCTGTAGCAGACATCTCTGCCCAGTATTAGCAGGTCAGAGTGGCACAAGCTTCTTATTTCAGCTGTGTTACATTGGAAGTAGCCCAATCAGCTAAGTTCACTTCCAGCCAAGGTCAACTTGGTTCCAGCTCAATTCCTCCCCTCTGAATTAACTGTTTGTTCTCTTCAGCCACAATATGCTAGTGCTCTCATTCTACAGCCCTGCCTGCCTGATAATTATCAGTAGGTGTACCAGGGCCTGCCCAGGTTCCCCGCTTCCCAGGCTTGTAATGAATAAACACTGGATGTCCTGGGAGTCCTCTGTTTTTGCTGCCCAGAGCAGCTTAGATGGGCCCAAGACTCAGTTTCTCTTAAGTCTCTGTCCCACTTTCTTATTCCGAGGACATCATAGTGGTTTGCAGAAGACCAGGACCACTGCAGGGGTCTCTGGTAATGTCCCCCTACCCTTTCCCGATAGACACCAAGTTTCCCAATTCCTGTCCCCCTTGGTCTCCCTTCATTCTCTCCACTTTAAGGGGTACAGAGAAATTTCCTTACTTGGTCCTTTCCAACATGTTCCAGGTTATCCTAGTTTACTACATACATATGAAGTACACATTGACCTGAGTATTACCTGTGCCTTATTAACCGCTCCTGGTCCGTTACAGATTGGGTGCCCTCATGAAACAGCCAATTCTGGAACTGTGTAACATCAGCACACTCAGGGACTATATTGTTTTCCTCCAGTTTCTGTAGTTGTTTTGCAAGCATTTTCTATTTATAAAAAATGTGCATTGTAAATATATAATGTTTTGTACTTTTTCCAGGAATAAACCTGCTAAAACTCCTGTATTTTATCACTGATGAATTGTTCAACCACATTTAAGTCTATCCTTTAGAGACATGGATAATTGAACCAACATAAAGATTTATCTCTCTAAAAATAAGAAAGCATTTTATTTCTCTAAAATAATTAAATAAGAATATCAAAATGTAGAAGAAAATGTCTAGGCATAAAGAGGGAAAGAGGGAAAACAACGCAACAAAAGTATAATGAGGTTATTGTTTTCCTCCTACTCTATTAATCTTAGAATATAAAAATGTTAAACCACACTTGCTTCAATCTGAGCTCTCTTGCTCCAATCCTGAATGCACTCACTTTACACACTTGGGCACACATGTGCCAAATACAACTGTGAGTCAAAACTCAAAAGGAAATCACTGTTCCCACTCACTTTACACTCAGCAATCGAATTCATGTTTAAGAACAACATTTTCTACTAGATAAATACAAGTACACGTGTGTAGGGACAAGAACACCATGTGTAGGTCCTATGAGTCACTTGTAGAACAGTGCGGATACTCATACTCCCCTTCTTCTGTTGCTGAAGCTGTTTTGGGTTCCAGTTGTAGAATCCTGATGTCACAATAGATAGTCCTTATTAGTCACAGGTCAGGTAGCACTAATGGGTTTGCCTGGCCCCTTAATTACCAAATCGTGCCAGCTAGCGATGGTGCAGTGATACAGATTCTCCCTCTCCCCTTCTTGATGAAATATGGCAACCTCCAAGATGTCGCTTATTCCTACTCTAAATTTTCATTTAGAAAAATGTTTATTTACTTTGTCAGGAAGGTCAAAATATTACAAGAAAATATTCTACAAAGAATTGAACTGTTCTTCCAAATTACTTAAACAAACCATAATTAAATATGCAACTTACTTGTTCTCTTATATAGTTTCTTTCAAAGTCTAATTTTAAGTTGGTGAGATATTGCCTGTACTTATTTAATTCCTTCAAGCTACAAACAATCTGTAATAAAAAATAAAAATATATAAATATTCTAAATATATACTTAACAGTGATAGCAATAGTCATCCAGAGGAAAAAAATAGTTCTGATGTTCAATTGAATGACATTTTGGTAGCAAGTAATGAATTGCTGGCAATTTAATAGGTAATATGTCTTCACATTTGCTAATCAATAAGAAATTGCTGTCCAGAAATACTGTTTTAGTAATATGACCTATGCTTTAATAAAGAATATACTACTTACCATTCATTGGTATTATTATTAAAGTATTATTATCAAAATAATAATTATTAGAATAATAATAACACCAGTTAATTACAACTGGGTTGTAATGATGGTGAACACCCGTGAGAATTATTTTATCAAGATTCTTACAAATTGAATTTTTCTACATTCGTATTTCATCTCTTTTCAAGAAAAATATGTCCCACAACAAGTGTTCAGTCCCTTCAGAGAAAGGGGACTCTTTATAGCTGGCCAATTAATACACCTGTACCTCATCAAATTCCTTGTCAGGGATCTTTAGATTTTATAAAGAAAAATGGCAAGAAAAGAAGTAATTTCATTTAGAAACAGTCAGATTTCCTTTGACCCAAATACTGAGTATTTCATGAAGTGAGCTTGAACTATGCTCTCACGATCAAGCTCATGGTGATTCTGGCACTCCAGTGAAAAACAGAAGCAAATTTATACCAGAGTCCAAAGGTTTTGATTTAAAGAAAAGTCATCTTCAACCCACTTTGTTATTGTTGGTGATGTAGCCACCTTTCTTCAGTCTCCTCAGGATATCTTTGCGTCTATAATATGCTTTTAAATGTGGATCATGGAGACTTTTATATTGGTTTTCCAAAAGTCGACAATAAGGATCTGTCAGATTAAAACCATACGAAGGTCGAAAAAGCTGAAAACACAGATTCAGACATGTTACATATGTAAAATTAGTGCATTTTCACTTTTATAGACCCCATTGAAGTGGGCAGAAAATAAAACGTGGAAAGAATCTCAACTGGAGAAAGCTACCAACAGGAAGATTTACTGTGCTCACAAACTGCCTTTCACTCCTTACTCATCTGTGTGAATTTTTCAAAAGACCCAGCCTCGCTGATTAAGTTCTTTACCTGATCTGCATGAGCCTCCGACCCAGAGACTGCAAAGACAGGCAGAAAGGAAAAGAAAGGAAATTGTATATAATTCATTCAAGATAGAAAGCTAATGTTTAGATTTTCCCTTTTGTTCCCCTCTCCCAGATCAAGGTACAGTATTCAGAAAAGAGAGGGATAGTATTAATTTATAATATTTTAATCATTTAAAATGAAAAGAATAAAAAAATCACTATGACTAAATTGAAAATAGCTTAAGAAATAGTAAAAGTGAAACCTAAGTGTTAAGTATTTTGGGGTTAAAGACTCATTGAATCTTGGGGGCTTTAATGAAAGAAACTTGATATTTTCCAAGTGCTAAAGTCCCAAGAAAATTCAAGGTACAGTTACTCCATTTAAAAAAACTATTTTAGTGCATAGTTAAAAGAAATCAGGTTTCTCCATATATCTAAAGATCACATTAAGCCTTATGCAGTTATAAAAGGGGAAAAAGACAATCAGCAGATAGTCAAGCTTCTTTTCTTTTAGTTAGAGGAAAAGCTGATTTATTTTAGTCTGTTTTATGGAGTAAAACTTCACCAAAGGGAATTTTAGGGATGATTCTCAGTTAGTTTTTCAAAAGAAAGCGAGAAATGGCTTTCATTTTGAAGGAATACGTGAAGGAGAAAAGTGGAAAATGGAAGCAAGTGTCCAACTTTTAATTCCCCGGTTTCAATCCTAGTACTTAAAAAAAATTGAGTCCGCATCGTCTTTGCATTGTTTCTATGTTTCTGGCCACAAAAACACAAGTTTTAGTCTAAAACAATGCCCAGAACCAGGTGAACAGTGACTGGAATATGCAGAGATTCTGGAAAACCAGAGGGCAAGTTCCCTGTTTGCAGGTGTGCAATACAATTCAGACTAACACACAACATTGCGTACTGGTCCATGTGCAATGGCAGGCATCATCTGTGACTTCTGTGTGTGCAGTTTGACCATGGCTTCAACTGCTTTCCAGTTCCGAATATGCAGGAGCCTGACTAGGTGGTACCTTAAAAATAACCCCAGAAAGTAGGGAGTATGGCTTTGCATGTGAGCAAAGGGGTACACATGGGAGATATGGCTATACAATTGATGCCTCTACCCTGAAATGCTTCTTTGTTAAATCTAGGAAAACTTGTTTAATGCCAAACTTTAATCCCTTCCAAATGTCCTAATCAGAAACCTAGATGGCCCAATCGCCAAATGGATCCTTGAGAAAGCAAAGAAAGGAATTCTACAGCATACGTACTTGAATCCAGTGAAGCTAAGTATGAATCCCACATTTTTCTGGGAAAAAATAATCAATAATAAGACAAGGAGGGAATTAACTGTCTCTTTTAGATAGTGGCATACGGCGATCAACATGGTTAAGGTGTTGAGTTTTAGCTGTAGCAAGCACACAGTTCTCAAAATGAAACCAGATTGCTTTACCTGGAAACAGAACACTTTCTAACAAATCCATTTTTTGGAGTTAGGCAACCCTTCTAATGTTGAGATAAATAATAGGTTTCGGTTAAGCCACACCAGTAATAATAAAGTATTATTTCATCAAACAGATCAATTTGAGAAAAAGAATAATCTCACAATATTGGTCTTTAGGGAGCTAGTTGTGTACCTCATTATAATGAAATGAATATATTTCAGAAGAATTAATGCGATAAGGAAAACAGAAGATTTTTTAAAGTAAGATGTTTTTAATGCAATACTTTTGAAAGAAATAATAGAGAAGTGAATTAGCATAACATATTTGAGGAAGTAGACAAAAGACAAAGCTAAACATTTGCATCATCCATCACCAGTAATGGAATAAATTTTAAGCACATTTAGGAGAGCTAATTTGTATAGATATGGTTCCAATTTTGAGACTAGCTTATAATTTTTAACTGATACATAAAAATGGTACATAACCACAAGTATAGATTGTACAGTGATCAAGTCAGGGGAAACATATCTATCTCCTCAGTATGTAGTACCATCTCTTTATTTTGTAAACTTTAAAAATGCTTTCTTCTAGCTTTTTTAAAGAAAAAGGTACATTGTTGTTGTCTAGCCGTTCTACCGTGCAACAGAGCATCAGAACGTCTCCTAGAACTTACCTTGCTCTATTCAAGTAGAACAACTTTCAGAAAGGCAAATTCTATTTTTTTCCAGGAATGTTCCATATTTTAAGAAATTGGATGTATTAGATGTTATATATTGAATATATTCCTCTAAAATTCACGTTCGGCTATTGTAAGCCCCAGGGAATGAGCCAGGTGGAGCCCTGGGAGGACATTTAGTCATGAGGGTGGGGCCTCAAGACTGGGATTTATGCCCTTATAAAAGCCTGTGGAATGTGCTAGTTTTCTTTCTGCTATGTGAGGGTTATAATACAGGTACTAACCCAAACCCAACCGTGTTGGCACCTTTACCTCAGACTTCAACATCCAGAAGTGTGATAAATTCTTGTTATTTTAAAGGTACCCACTTTGTGGGGATTTGATATAGGAATGATAGGAGCCCAAACTGACTAAGAAATCAAGCAAGTATAAAAATACATTCTTGAGGAACTTTTAAAAATACTAATCCAAATAGCCACTCAACAAGAACATACTAAACTTCCTTCAGAATTTGTTACTTCCTCGAGGGCTGCAAAGTTCTGGGGATGGTGGAGAGTTGTGGCTTAAAACATGCTAAGGTTGAAGGGAAATAACCATTACAATGCAGGACGATCAAAGGTTGATTCATTCAACCAAATATATCACAAATAAGCTCATTAGGGGCTCTGATAGTTCACAAAGAATCTTGAGGAATAATACAAATTCATCAACTGAGGTGAAGAAAATTCATCCGTTGAGGTATTGCAGATTTGGTGACAAGGTGGACCAAAGTGTGGAAGTAATAGAGTGGAAATATAAGTGGAATGGATAGGACATCATCCCCAGGAAGCCAAGCCAGTTGCGACAAAAGACCAGAAGGAGAGGTAGGGGCTGATCGGGGGATCATATCTTCTTACAGGCAGGCCCTTTTCCATTCAGTTAAATTACACGAAATGTAGGAAATCATTCCAACTCTACTCTTTTCTAACCTTGTGTGTGAAATAGTATTTAGTTCAAAATGCAATAAAATGTTTCATAGACTTCAGTCCATGTTACTATTGGTTAAAATCACAATACACAATTAAATGCCAACCGGCTGTGATAGCCTTCCACTTTTCAATCAAACATGTTTCTAAGCAAACCAAAACGCACCACATAGGTATATTTGAAATTTTATGATTTTAAAAGTTCATATGCTTCCATACATTAAAATTAAGACAAGACTAAGGGATCTAAACGTGATGACATCGCTTCCTATGCCTTCTAAACAGTACCCAGGGTTAGAAATGGCTTTAACCCTCCCCGCAATGTTACCTCGCTGACTCGGACAAGAAGAGAAGGAAGCTGGTGTAAGACCCTTCCCAGTGAGTTTACCTTTTCACTTAGATTCGTAGTAAAGAACAGAGGGTCAGTTCCTGGGATCACCGGCAGCTTCACCCCGAGAGGCAGATCCAGGAGCTGAGCTGCTCCCACCTCGGCGAAGTGGGTTTTGTGCGCCCCCTGTCCGACAGAATTGGCGAGGGTCGCGACTCTTCCCGTGTGCGACTCTCCAGTACTCAAGGCCGAGACCGCCCACTCGCGCCCGATGACACAGAAGGACGCGCCCAGCTGGTCG